TTGCCTGGACACTGTAACCAAGGTAATACTGGTTAACGATGCTCTGCGCTCACCACTTGATCCTTTCCCCCAGGTGTGCCTGGCCTCCCTGGACCCAGAGGACTCAAAGGCGACGTGGGAGTGAAGGGGCCCGCAGGAAGCAAGGGGGAGAAGGGCGATGGCGGGGGCCTGGGTTCTCCCGGCCCGCAGGGCTCCAGAGGACCTCCAGGCATCCCAGGCCCTCAAGGCGAGAGGGGACCTATTGGCGTGAAAGGCGTGCCGGGCTTTAAAGGCGCTAAGGGCAGCTTTGGGCAAGCTGGCCTCAAAGGACAGATGGGCCTGAAAGGCGACACGGGACCTCAGGGGCCGGAGGGAGCTCCGGGGCCGGTGGGGCCAGCAGGGCCGCAAGGGAAGCCAGGGATTCCAGGGAAGCCAGGGTCACCAGGCCAGCTTGGCCCCCTGGGTCCGAAGGGAGACCCCGGCGTGCGTGGGCCCCCAGGCTTACCGGGGCCACCGGGTGTCTAAGCCAGCCCCACCCGCAGCCCTGCCCTACGGGGGATGGGGAGGGGTGGTCTCTGCAGTGCTGAGGGGTGGCAGCTGGCCAGAGGCGCATCCCAGGGCCCGTCACCAGCATCCCCCTGGCCCTGCGGGAGATTCAGCCGGCGATCCCAGCAGGGAGCCCGACCCCCCGCATCCCGCCCGGGACGTCCTGCCTGAGCAGAGCGGCTGGGATCCCCGCTCACCTGCACAGCGCCCCCAGCAGGCAGCCCCCCTTGTTCGTTCACACGCCCTCAGAGACAGCCGAGGGCAGCACGGCCCCCTGGATGGGAAACCAGCGCTGTCCATGTCCTGCCCTTCCCTTTCCAAGAGCCTGCTTGTACCTGTTTGACCCAGACACGCGGGGCTGTTTGAAAGGCAAAGAGCTAAATCTCCATGTGTCAATGGGAGTGTGTGTGTGAGAGAGACTGTGCTAGGCCTTGCCAAGATCGCCCTGGGCTTTGCCCTGCAGCTGGGGAGCTGGGCCCAAGCAGGCTTCCCACGTCTCTCGTTCGCTGGCAGAGCCTGGGCGTTTTGCTGCCTAGCACAGACCAACGTGCCTCCGGTCGCTTCATTGCCTTGGTTTCCATCATCCTCTGCTCCAGCCCTCGCTCACTGCAAGTGGGTCTGGGCACCACGCTCTCATGCCACACCTGGTCGGGGCTGTCTCTGGCATCCTACAGTTCTGTATTCGGACACGTTGATTCTCCCTCCTGACCCACTTGGCAGCCAGTTGGGCTTGGTCCAGGCAGCCTCAGCTCTTGGTACCCGTTCAGCTCCTGGTGGGCAGAGGCTATCCATCACCATGGGGTCAATGACTAATGGAGCATGGGGGCACCAGGAATGGGGGAGGGACTTTATGTGGCTGCAACAGCTGGGGAAGGAAGGGGAGGCCTAGAGAAGTGGGGAGAGGCACCACGTGGGTTTTGGGGAGCACCCTGGGTGGTGGGGGAGGCTGAGCTGTGGGACCAGGGTCATGAGCCAAATGGAAGAGGAAGTGTTTGGGGGGAGACGGAGCTGGGGAGCAGTCTGGCTGGGGGGCCTAGAGGTGAAGCAGGCTGGGGGAGGTCTCGGGCTGTCTTGGGAGCTGGGAGGGATTGGGAAGAGGAGCGGTGAAGAGGCTGGGGAGACTCTGGATCTGAGCCCCTGACCGGCAAGCGGCCCCAGCGCCGCACCAGAATGATGGGCCCAGGCCCTGCCTCTGTTCAGCCACGGGGCCCACGGTCTGCGGCAGGCATAAAACTGCGGGCAAAATGGCCTTCCAGAGGCCCGTGTGAACACAACCCTCGGCCTCGCTGTCTGAGCCGGCCCTGTCCCAGAACAGCCACTGTGTTACGGTTCAGACCCTGCCTCTCATGCTCCAAGCCCGGGCTGGCGCGGGCATCTACCTGCAGGACCATCCCCACCCCATCCCTCGGCCTGCCGCAACCCCCCAAACCCACCCAAAACACCAGCACTCTGGGGAGTGCCCAGTCTGGCTGTCACCCCTGTGCCAGGCCCGAGGGAACCAGTCCATAGACAAAGTCCCCTATCCTTGGCTCTGGGCACAGGCAGCAGTGGACTGGGAGGGGGTCTCGTCCCATTCCTGCTGAGCAGTGATGGTGCCTTACGCGATGAGACATGGCGCAGGCTGGTGTGATGTTGCGTGCGTGCTACATGGTGCAGCTGGTTTGCGTCATCTCTCTCCTGCCCTTTTCACCCCGGTATCTACCCACGATATAATGGCAAATGTATTCCTGGATCAATAAAGATACGACTGTATGGGGAGAGCCCGCGCCCTTGCTTTGTGTGTGCTGCATTTCCCACTAGGCGAAGAGACGAGTGCTCGACGCATGGCTGGATCCTGGAGACACCCCACTCCCGGCTGGCACCTCGAGGGGCGAGGGGCTCCCCTCCTGAGGGGGAGATTTCAGCATCAGTCATGCTGGCAGGCCCAAGATTGGTGCTGACCAGCTGTTTAGGGCGCAGCAGGGGTGGAAGGGTGGCCCCTCCCCACATGAGGTGTAGGAGTGGCGGGGAAAGGAGCAAAACTTGGGGATCCAAGAGGAGACACCTCCCGCTGCCCCCAAATGAAGCCAGGACTCACTGGCTGTGTCTATACCAGGGTTATTCAACCTGTGGGAGGGCCAGAGAGGTGGGGGAATCCGGTCCGGCCCCCGGGGGGGCCGGGAGACCTGGGTGGGGGGTCAGGTCCTGTCTCTGGGGGAAGGTTGCAGAGCCTGCCCTGCACTGACCCCACAGCGGCAGCTCCTGTCCAATGGGGCTGGCTGGGCTCGGCTCCCCACTGTGGGCGCTGCGACCTGGTGCATGGGGTTCCCAGCACCGCTCAGCTTCGGCCCAGCCACCCCTCCGGCATGATGACAGGAGATTGGCCAGGACAAAGTTGGGTGAGTGGCACTGCGCCCCCGTGCATCAGGGCACCCGCCGCTCACACACATTTTGGCCCAGCTGCCCTGATGCGGGGGCCTTGCTTGCAAACCTTGGCTGCAGCGGTTGCAACGCCCAGAAGAGCCCAGAGGTTGCAACGCCCAGAAGAGCCCAGAGGTTGCAACGCCCAGAAGAGCAAGCCACACCGAGCCAGCTCCAGGGGACAGGAGCCCCTGGAGCTGTTGCTAGGGAACGCACGGTGCACTTATTACGTTACCGCCTATCTTACCTATTGTGGGTAAGAAATATTTCATCCGTCGGATGGTTTTTGCACTAAAGCTATTTCCAGGGGCACGACAGCCCATCAAGGGTTACAAGAACCACTGGCCGATCCTGCCGTCCCGGGGTGTGATCGCACCTGAGGTATTCACAGGGACCTCAATGGCAAAGCTCCCAAGATGGGTCGCTCGCCACTACAACAGAACTGCTTCCTGACGGGACCTGGGAGACGCTCCACCGCTCCCAGCTCCTGCGGCCACTCCGGCCTGGCCGGCTCCCACCAGAAAAAGGTGGGCAGTGATCAGCTGGTGTGGCTCGAATGACTCAAGGTGCAACGGGGCTTTTCCCCTCCAAGGGGAATCGGCCTTCGGAAACCTCTGTCCACCCCCCTGCCCCACCCCACCGGGCACCAGCCAGATCCATTCCCTGGGAATGGCAGGCACCAACTGTGCCCTGGGTATCAATTGGAGATGGAAGGTATCTGGACTGCCAGACTGGGGTGAGGGAGGATGGTCCCCCAGGGCATGTTGGTGGGTGTGACACTTCCTGGGGGTACCCAGCCTTGCCACCTGCCCTTAGCGCGAGGGAGCCGGGACTCAGCTCCCCGACTCCACCGGCCCCCGGCAACTCAAGCCCTGCCCTCCCCCCCGCCTACGCAGACTCTGCCGTCTCGCTGCAGATTAGCGATAGGCACCCCTCGACCCCCGAACCCTCTGAGCATCACCCGGGCACGCCCAGCCCCTGGCCCACTGGATGCTCCCCAAATTCACCAGGGTGGACCCCGGTTGACCCACATAGAATATCAGGGTTGGAAGGGACCTCAGGAGGTATCTAGTCCAACCCCCTGCTCAAAGCAGGTCCAATCCCCAGACAGATTTTTGCCCCAGATCCATAAATAGCTCCCTCAAGGATTGAACACTCAACCCTGGGTTTAGCATATTTATATCTTCTTCCATCAGAAATCAAGCTGATAGCAACAGTTCCCACACAGGTCCCTGATTCATGGAGCGGGGGGAAGTGGGGGAGATGCACTTTAAAAAGTCTTTGATCCTTGATCTAGAACAGTGATCCTCAGCCAGGGATACACGTACCCCTGGGGATATGCAGAGCTCTTCCAGGGGGTACATCAACGCAGCTAGAGATTTGCCTACTAGCGAAGTCAGTACAAACTAAAATTTCATACAGACAATGCCTTCTTTATACTGCTCCATATGCTATAGACTGACATGTAAGTACAATAGTTATAGTCCAAACCATTTATTTTATAATTAGATGGGAAAATGAGAAAGTCAGCCATTTGTCAGTAACAGTGCGCTGGGACACTTGTATTTTTACGTCTGATTTTGTGATCAAGTTGTTTTTAAGTGAGGGGTAACTGAGGGGTGCGCAAGACAGATCAGACTCCTGAAAGGGGGACAGTCGTCGGAAAGGTTGAGAGCCACTGATCTCACACAATGGCTCGTTTGTGTTTAATTAACAGGATTTAGCATCTTCTCGTTAGAGGCCGTGAGCTGCATTCTACAAGGCTTTATCCCTGTTCATAAATGACCTGGAAAAAGGGGTAAACAGTGAGGTGGCAAAATTTGCAGCTGATACAAAACTACCCAAGATAGTTAAGTCCAAAGCAGACTGTGAAGAGCTACAAAAGGATCTCACAAAACTGGGAGACTGGGCAACAAAATGGTAGATGAAATTCGAGGTTGATAAATGTAAAGGAATGCACATTGGAAAACATAATCCCAACTATACATATATAATAATGGGGGCTAAATTAGCTGTTACCACTCCAGAAAGAGATCTTGGAGTCATTGTGGACAGTTCTTTGCAAACATCCACTCAATGTGCAGTGGCAGTCAAAAAAGCAAACTGAATGTTGGGAATCATTAAGAAAGGGATAGATAATAAGACAGAAAATATCATGTTGCCTCTATATGAATCCAGGGTACAACCACATCTTGAATACTGCGTGCAGATGTGGTTGCCCCATCTCAAAAAAGATATATTGGAATTGGAAAAGGTTCAGAAAAGGGCCACAAAAATGATTAGGGGTCTGGAACAGCTTCCATATGAGGAGAGATTAGTAAGACTGGGACTTTTCAGATTGGGAAAGAGACAACTACAGGGAGATATGATAGAGGTCTATAAAATCATGACTGGTGTGGAGAAACTACCTGAAAGGGGGTTCCAAAGAGGATGGAGCTCGGCTGTTCTCAGTGATACCAGATGACAGAACAAGAAGCAATGTTCTCAAGTTGCAGTGGGGGAGGTTTAGGTTGGAAATTAGGAAAAACTTTTTCACTAGGAGGGTGGTGAAGCACTGGAATGGGTTCCCTAGGGAGGTGGTGGAATCTCCTTCCTTAGAGGTTTTTAAGGTCAGGCTTGACAAAGCCCTGGCTGGGATGATTTAGTTGGGGATTGGTCCTGCTTTGAGCAGGGGGTTGGACTAGAACCTCCTGAGGTCCCTTCCAACCCTGATATTCTATTATTCTATGACAGTAAATAAGGAAGTGTTATTTACTCCTTCTCATAACACAAGAACTAGAGGCCACCAAATGAAATGAATAGGCAGCAGGTTTAAAACAAAGAAAAGGAAATATTTCTTCACACAGTGGACAGTCAACCTGTGGAACTCTTTGCCAGAGGATGTTGTGAAGGCCAAGACTGTAACAGGGTTCCAAAAAGAACTAGATAAATTCATGGAGGATAGGTCCATCAATGGCTATTAGCCAAAGGGGGCAGGGATGGTGCCCTAGCCTCTGTTTGCCAGAAGCTGGGAATGGGTGACAGGAGATGGATCACTTGATCATTACCTGTTCTGTTCATTCCCTCTGGGGCACCTGGCACTGGCCACTGTCGGAAGACAGGATACTGGGCTAGATGGGCCTTTGGTCTGACCCAGTTTGGCCGTTGTTCTGTTCTGTTTGATGAGTTACATACTCACAGCGGTTTACAATGCAGATGCTGGCTATCACTTTATAACTTGGGTTATAGGTGATTGAGGACAATACATGCAGCAGCTTACAAGCATTTTTAAAAAACACTAAACACACTCATCAACTGAACATCTGATGTCCACTGTGGTGATGCTAACACACAGGTGAGCAAGCCCACTTTCCAGCGATGCATTTACAAGTGTCCGGTGAGGCCTGGGCATGAGCTGGCATCTGGTCTGCCAGCGTCACACCGCTATTTCCAAAAGGAACAGCCCCCCCGGGCCCCCCAGTTTACCAGTCACACCTCCAGATCACCGCTCCACTTCACTGAGAGCGCTTAGCTCAGACTGCACCCTTCCCAGGGAACGCTGGGTTCAGTTACTGAAACCAGCCGACCGGTCCTCACTCCGGGTGAGGGGACGCCACTGATTATATAGTGACATTATCCTGCTGAATAACAACAAGGTAGAAGGGGTCCAGGGAGAAGCAACAACGGTTATTCAAAGCCAGGAGAGACTCTGTCACAGGAGAGACTGGAACATCAAGATTGTTTCAAGAAGAGCCAAGCAGGAGAGCGTCTGATTGAAGCCTATGAAATAATGGATGACTGTGGAGTAGGTAAATCGGGAGTTCCTTGTGTCATGCGCAGTGTTAACGAGAAGAAGGGGATACCCAGTGAAACTGTAAGCCAAGCCTGCAGCCAGCTTGTCCCCTAGGGGAAGGGTGTCTCTTTGCACTGAGGTTATACCCCAACGATCCATTGTCTTCACTCACAGACAGGTTACCCCCACCTGTGCTGGTTTTTTTTTCCCCCCTGCAGGTTCCTTTCCTGTTGCTTTTGCAATGGCTTGATTTGGCTTGGACTGCAGATAGACCTCCACTGAGACATAGATCAGGCTTGACAAAGCCCTGCTGGGATGATTTAGTTGGGGTTGGTCCTGCTTTGAGCAGGGGGTTGGACTAGATACCTCCTGAGATCCCTTCCAACCCTGATATTCTATGATTCTATGATACCCAGGACTCAGTTTACAGCGAGCCAGACAGGGAGATAAGCATGAAAGAAACTTGTTTATCACCTTCCAGTGACCAGCCCCAACTCACAGCCCTTCAGCCCGTAGCTTAGTGGGGACACATAACTCCTTCCCTATTATCCGTACAGACAATTCACAACGATCAGGCTT